GTTTGCATTTGCGCTGCAGTTTGCTGTGACGCTTTTATTGATCAGTTTGTTCTGCGACAGTTGAAATTAGACAGTGAGGGGGAAAAAACATTTCAAGCCCCGTTTTGTTGCAATGATGCAATTTTATAGTTCTAGCTTCTCTGATTCCCTTAAGATTTTAAACGAGAACCGGACCTGCTTCATGAGTTTGACAATAAAAAGGGTGCTGTTGAGGTTATAACGGCAGATGTTTCATTTACAAACATTTATTTTACAGTGATATCCTGCGAATGGATTCCACGAACGCAGACGCTCTTTACGTTCGAGGTCTGTGTCTCTACTATGAGGACTGCATCGACAAAGCTGTCCAGTTCTTTGTTCAGGCTCTACGTATGGCACCGGACCATGAAAAGGCCCGGCTAGCCTGCAGGGTAAGATTGTCATTTTGTCCTCTTCCATCTATAATTTTATTTTAAAACTAAAAGCAGCATAATGACTGTAATTGCACGACTAATTCTGCCATTGTAAAGTTGGGCTTTTATGTTTGGGTGCAGTGCAACACATTTGCAATTACAAAGGCTACACTTACTGATGATGGTGGGGGTTTTACACCTTGGTGTAAGAACAGCCCAGATGTAGTTACAAAGAGAGACGGTTCAGTGTTTCATACCGTCGCTACTGTTAACACAACAAGAACAAAGAACTGTTCTCACTCTTCAAATGTTCATTTCAAGTACATTAAAAAAAATCTACTTTTGTTTTCATAGAACGTAAATCCTATTAGACGTTTTGCACCCAATAAATTTCACTGCAAGTCTGAGTAAATGTTTTAAAAGAAACATGAGGACTTGTTTTCTTCCAAAATCAGAATGCCAAAAACTTGAAAGCCAAGAAAGAGGAGGGCAACCAGGCGTTCAAGAACAACAACTATGAAGCTGCCTACCAGCTGTACACAGAGGCTCTGACGATAGACCCCAACAACATCAAGACCAACGCTAAACTCTACTGCAACAGAGCCACAGCAGGAGCAAAGGTAAAGGCAACAAATAAACCCATGTTTGGGTGTTCATTTGGCAAATTTTGGCTTTATTATTGGCTCGGGCTCTTCCAGCTCTGTGTCTCCAATCAGTCCACTGTAATTACCTTCCTCCTCCTCAACAGCTGAAGAAACTCAACGAGGCCATTGATGACTGCACCAATGCAATAAAACTAGACGACACTTACATCAAGGCCTACTTAAGAAGAGCTCAGTGGTATGCTATACAGTCAATATGAGAATTTTACTCCTCATTTGTGTGTTTTTGTTGTTCGGCATTGTCCAGTGTTTGAGTGACTTTGTGTGAACCCGTAGTTACATGAACACAGAACAGTATGAGGAGGCCGTACGGGACTATGAAAAAGTTTACCAGACAGAAAAAACATCAGGTAAGCTGTTGTTTTTGTTTTTTTTTACTAACCATATATACTAACTGGTCAGGTTTTCATGCACTCACATGACTTCAATTTGTAATCTTATCCCTCTAGATCACAAGCACTTGCTGAAGACGGCACAGCTGGAGCTAAAGAAGAGCAAGAGGAAAGATTACTACAAGGTGCTGGGAGTCGGCAAGAACGCCACCGAGGATGAGATCAAAAAGGCATATCGCAAACGAGCCCTTATGCACCACCCAGGTAGCCGTCCAGGTGTTTACACAGGCATGCAAGATACTGACGTTGATTATATTTGTTTATCTTATCTCTGTTGTATTGTGTCGTTGTCTTGCAGATCGCCACAGCGCAGCAACTCCAGAGGTGCAAAAGGAAGAGGAAAAGAAATTCAAGGAGGTGGGGGAGGCCTTCACTGTGCTCTCCGACCCAAAGAAGAAGGTCCGCTATGACAACGGACACGACCTGGATGATGATGGCTGCTGTGATGGGAGAGGTATGTGCTTAGTTTATTCTTTGCTCTGGCTAGATTTACATTCAACCTGGACATGAGTCGGATGATGGAGAACAAATCTGTGCTCCCGTCCCCTTTTCACACTACTTATCTTAAAGGAAAACATGTCAAAACATGGTGAAAGTCAACTAAAAGCAGAATGACTAAGGTAATTGATGGCTGAATAGACGTTTTTACAGCAGACAGGAAGTCTATATGTACTATAACAGGAAGATCACAGGCGTAAACAGTGAAATTAGTCAGGCTGAATTCTGTTTAACTGTTTAAATTGAGGCCCTGGTGTTGTGAATGGCTTACTGGCCCCCTTGAATAGGACAGATCCATCTAATGTTATTAGTAACGTCTGTGATTTTCCTACAATAGTAAGGCGACCTGTTTCTCTCTGTTGTCAATACAGTGTGTATGTACACAACACCTGGGTTTTGAAAGTTGTAGAATGTGCGTACAGTATGTAAAACGGCTCAGTTCACCTCCATTATATGTTTAGTTTACCAAATGACGTCATTTATTTTTACACCCTTCCTGAAGGTGAAGCTGATCCCGCTATATTTGCCTTTACGTTCTCTCTAGATTTTGACGCAAACAACATCTTCAGAGCTTTCTTTGGCGGCCATGGTGGAGGATACAGTTTCGATTCCAGTCCAGGTGTGTTTTTCTTTTCCACTTTCGACATCCTCAACCTTACTGAAGCGCGAAATAATTGATCAGAGTAAGTGCATCCTCTTAACTAACTTCTTTTTTTCTTCTTTGTTTCTAGAATCCGCACCTGGAAATTTCTTTTTCCAATTTGGCTAAAGTGGAGGAGCATGTGGGAAAATGCAGCCCTGCAGTGGACAAAATGAAGTTGGACTCACAGACACCTCCCAATGCTCATTCTCCTGAGTGTCTTGCAAAAACCTCCTCACTTTTCTTTTTAAAGAGGTTTTTGCGTTCACTCCTAAATTTACTCCTTGCGTTGATGCTAACAAAGCATGGGAAGGATAATTCAGAGGCTTTAGGTATGAGTTAACAATAAACAGGTGTTTAAGATTTATTTTGTTTGTTTTTTAAAAGTTTGGATCAGCTGATTGGAGTCATGTCCCTATTGCCAAAATCAAAATATTAAATGAAATCTAATCTTGTAAAACTGCCTCAACCTTCGTAAAGGTGATCAGTAGTAAGAAATAAATTGGAAGTGTAAGCATCATGGTGGATTAGTTTTAGAAGACATAACATGGTATACGTTTTTAAGATTCTCCTGGGATAGCATGTCTATAAAGCAAGAGGCATTGTACTGTAAGTTCAATGTCAAAACTGACCTCAGGACAGCCTGTTAAGGACAACGCTCGTCCCTTGAGGGTGTGTGTCCAGGTTTTATTGGCTCACTTGCCAAATATAGAATCGACCTGCAGGGTTTTTGTTTCCTCTCCTTTTCTTCATGCTGCATTGTATATTTGACTTGAATGTAAATCGTTTTTTGTCCATAAATTTTTCTTCTTCATTCTTCCCGCGGTCTATTTATATTTATTGTACTGTACATTATAACCTGTATACAGCACAGTGCCAGTGTTCCTTGTCATCCTCAATTTTTTAAGAGACTGATTTGTAAATGTTTCCATCCTCTTCGCTCTCGGATTGTGAGGCCAAAATCAGCATACATACTGTACACCTAAAGATTTTCTTCTGTTGAAAGCACCAACCACACATCTGTCCTAACTGTCCCATTCAAATTCAAGTGGTGCCTTACAAGAATGAGCAGATCCATGAACCTTCTTCGAGTAAAACCGACATCAAAACCTGCAGAGCAAGCACATCCTATTTGCAAAAGGCAACAGTTTTTTTTTTTTTTTTGTTGGTTTTTTTTGTGCTCTTTCATATGAAAATCTTTTTTTATATATATCTGGCCAGTAAACAAAATTGCAAGTGAATTCATCATCCTGTCAAATATAAAGACTTACATTTCCATTCATGCATCAATCACACCTAGCTGTCACCCACCTAGTCTTGTCATGCACGTTGGGTCAGTACAGCCCTTCCCCGACTTGTTCCGCCTGTTTTAAAAGGGGCACTGATAGCAGGTTGGAAGCTCCTGTTGTTAATAGTTGTGTCACTGATCTATGTATCATTTTTAAGACTTGTCACAGTATTCACAAGACATGCTTTTCTTATTACAAAAATAAAGGCTCGTCTTTTACTGTAATGCTGGACTTTTCACTTAAATTTCTTTTTGGATTAACTTGATCTAATCTTTTTCTAGATTCAGAGTATTTTCCATTTTATCCTACTTCAGTACATTTCAGAGGAAAATCTGCTTTTTCATCCTCTGCATTTGTTTGACAGCCATGGTTATTAGTTTTCAGATTAAGATTTTACATACAGAAACATGATGCATAATGATGCATAACATAGTATACTGTAAAGTAAATTAGCTCCTCCATAATTATTATTATATGATCCAATAATGTATAATGTATAGCTCTGTCATTTAGGTTTTTATTAAAATAGATATTTAAAACTAAACTAAACAATACACTAAAATAAAACGGTCAATTACAGCTGTTCCCATATTATTACATTAGCCTTTGATTTTCTAATAACCTTGGATGCAATAAGCCCTTAATGTACAGGAAGAAATATTCCCAGACTTTTTGTATTGTTCATCCTAACTAGTGAATATTCAAAGGAAGCTGTTTCAGACACAGGTTTAACCTATTTAGTTCTGGTGTTTTTCTTCCAGTTTTTGCAAACAAATCTTGCTGCAGTGATGAAACCTGACAGTATTAATCAAAATTTTGCTTTGGTGACACCCTGTGGTAAAAGTGTTTTTAATCAGAAACACTTAAAGTTTCTATCCAAGTTTCACCAGCGCTTCCTTTCCTAAAGGAAGAACCACGGAGCATTCCCATAACATGTAATAAAAGTGCCAATAGCCTACATTTCCAACATCTATCTATATTTACTGTACTGTATATTCTAACCTCTATATAGCAGAGTGCCAATGTTTATCATCCTCTTTGCTCTTAGATTGTCAAAATCAGCATACATACACATTCATATTTAAAATTATTCTGTCCTACTGTTCAAATTCAGGTGGCTCCTTTCGAAGAATGAGCGCATCAGTTAACCTTCTGACAGTAAAATGTGCACCAAAAGCTGGTAAAATTTTCATATCTGACCAGTAGACAAATTGAAAGTGAACTACTTGCCCTATTAAAGATGAAAAACTTAAATTAAGTTTCAGTCACACCCAGACGTCATCCACCTATTCTTGTCATGCACGTTGGGTCAGTACAGCCATTCCCCTACTTGTTCTGCCTGTTTTAAAGGGGCACTGGTAGCAGGTTGGAAGCTCCTATTGCTTATTGTTTTCTCACTGATCTATGAATCATTTTATGCGTTATGTTCAGTAAATCAAACAGCTTCTGCATCATATTAGGTTCCTCTAAACTCCTGTTAAGTTTGAACACATGCCCTATACTGCTCCTTAATTGGAGATATTTTCAGAATTCTCCCTTTGCTTTCATGTTTTAAGAGCAGGGTCAACATGCTCCTAGTATGTCTTAAATGAATCACACATATACCACTCCCCTGCCAACCATTCGAACAAAATGAATGTTTTCTTTTCCAGACTTATTTAATACATCTGCGCTTTAAAATTAAGATTTGTATGATTGTAACTGAGTATTTTTAGACTCAGGTATTACCACTTTTACTTAAACTTGAAACTTTTTCAGGAGTAATGTTTTAGCTGGAAATTAACCCAATTTTCCATTTGTCCCTGGCATTTAGAGTTTCTTTGAAGAATATATTTATTGCATTTTTCACATACAACATAGAACAAAACAGATTAGACATGACAAGTAAAATGAGTGTAAGAATAAGAAATAAAGCTAAGAATAATAGGCATTATATCCATCCCCAACCCTCACCACCCCCTACTACAGAGAAAGGCAAAAATCGAGTAGTATGTAAACAAAGGTTACAGGAAAACTTTAACATAGTTTAGCAAACACTTGCAATAAAGAAAATGACAGTGTGTGTCCCAAACTGTATAGAAAGCGTGCATGAGGTGTATTCATTGGGAATACAGTGCATTACAAGATTGTGCCACACTTTTTCTGCTGGAGTAACAGAGCAAAATATTCTTCCTAACAGCATAAATCAGTAGATTGAATAACCCACCCACACTTACATTTTAAAAACAAAATATATGTGTGGTTTTGAAACTACAAGTTACAACTTAAAGTGATTATTATCTTACTAATCTGCACTGTACATTTTGTTTACTTCCACTTGCACTCCACTCCATTTGTGCTGTTTACTGTTTGCAATGTTTA